CGCTCTTCCAGTAGTTCTTCTTGTTTAGCACCTACAGTATAAAAAGTAGAGCTTGTTTGGAGGTATTATTCCATGGATCCCCTAGCAAAGAACTCCCTTTTTCTTCCCCGCCCTGTAAGCTTATTCTATGTTTAGCAAATGATCCTTTTCTTTATGGTGTTATTACAGACTGTCAAATTAATCCTTCAGCTTATAACTAACTAGGTATCAAGGATCTGTGGAAGTCTAATTTTCCAGTTTGGGGTTGGAAGAAAGAAGTTGCTTCGGATGAGATTTCTGCATTAATACAGGAGTCTGCATTTAACCACCATCTGTGCAATAAGAATAATTTAATCCTGTCAAAGAAAAAAATGAGTAATTTGACTTGTATCTACAGATTGAGCCTTCTAGTCATCTTTCCATGAGGAAATAGTGGATGTAGAAGAAAGCAGGTTCTCGCTTGTCTAAGAACTACAGAACTAACCAAGAGGGGATTTCATTATCGTCTTGCTTCCCGTCCTTTTTGTACTGTTAGCCATTGTTAACGTAAGAAAATGATTTAAGAAAAACAAAAAGGTGTGTGTAAGAAAAAAGGAAAGCACCCTTTTAAAAGTCTGTTTCTTGACTGCTGCTTAAGTTTTCCTCAGGTTTATCCTTTTCCTGCTACCTATATCATCTTCTGAAGCTTTTAGACTGTGAAAACTCCCATCGTGACTGAAATTGAACTTTGTTAATTTGTATCCATGACTGCAAATACATTTTTATTTTAATATGTAAGAACCTAAAGGAACGGTTGGGATTTCCACATCTGAATATCTGGCTCTTCTAAGTGCAGTTCTAATAGTGACATTGCGGAATAATTTTACAGAAACATTAATTTCTGTGCTGTGTAGTTTTGAAAAGCCTCAGTGGTCTTGTACAATGAGGTTTATAATGCCTCAGACCTGAGGGGCAGCATTCACCAGCCGATTAACAGCCATGCATCTACTAGAGCTTCTGCTCTTAGTTTGATCAGCAGTGACACCACTGGTAATTAGTTCCCCCCTCTCCTCTGTTTTCATCTGCATCAGAATATTTGAGGACCCTCAGGGTCTCTGTGACTTTGAGTCAAAAGGAAGAGTAGCTGTAGCTGAGGGTAGCAGGAAGGCTGCTCCCAGCTGCTTATTGAAGCATTTACTTATTCGTGAATCTTTGTGCAGTAATACGATGTTTGAGTCAAGTCTTGCTTTTTGTTTTTAAGTTTTTGGTTTTTTTTTTCTGCAGAAATACAGATGACTGCTGTGATCAGAGCTTTATTTGCAACTTCATTAGTCATGAGCTTCTGTTGGGGCTTGGCGTCACATGTGTGTTTTCTTTTTCTTTGTTTGTTAATTACAGGTTGAAGGAAATCCTGCTTAAGCATGCTTAATCTATCTCGTAAATTGGAGTGTCAGCTTATTTCTTACAACTAGCTGTAAATGTAGTTTCTGTGCTGGTTCTTGTTTAAGGGTTTTTTTTGCTTTACAGCCTGGTTTGTCAAAGAAATGAAACTTACATGATCAGGCTGCTGATCTGCAGCCTAATAACTTTTGAACCAAGTTTGATGAAGAGGGAAAGTTCTCAAGAACATTAAGTTCCCACCAGTTACGTGGAGATTTTCTGGTGTGTAGAGGACAGAAATTTATCATGCTTCCTCTTTAAAACGTATCATCAGAAAATGCAAGATAAATACTGTCCTGCTACTCAAGCAGCTGGCTATTTTTGTAATAGACAAAAGAGAATTCATTATTTTCTGCATAACCTATTATAAGATCATGAGATTTTCATAATGTTAGGTATGTCTGCAAATCACATCTTTCTGGAGAGTCAGCCTACTGATGCAAATGAAATGTTAAGATGATGGTGATTATAGCTGAGGGGTAAACATCTTGCTTGAGTAAGGGGAGAAGGGACTGCTCTAAGGGAAAAGCTTTATTCCACTTGGAGTTCCATCAGAAAAACTTATGACAGTCAGAAATTTACAACACAGAAGTCATAACATTTTCTGAAGGTGCTGTTTGAATTTTTGGTGGAATAAAATCATGAATTGTTTTACAGGTAAAGAAGATTGTACATTGTTAAGAGATGATAAGAAACTTCGTTCGTATTGCTTAGTGTACATGCGGCAAGTTTTGGAGTGGTCTGTTAAAATATTAATCCATGGCAAAAGAATATTAAAAGTAGAAATTCAGTAGCATTTTGATAGTCCCTAAAATTGGACAAACAAAAGACAGATTTTCTTTTTTTTTTTTTTTGCCATTATTTAAAGCAAGGCATAAGTCGTGTTTAAACTGTTTTGTTTGAGATGGTATCTAATGACTCCAGTAATGTTTTGCAGGGCTGTATTTCCCAAATATTTTTGAGTCTAATTATTTTGTTATGCAGATCTGTTGGAAAGTAGTGTAACTTTCTGCTACTCCTGTGAATTTTCCATGTGAATGAAAAGTGGAAAAAAAAAAAGTGTTTAAAAGAGTGGTAAGAACCTACTTGAATGTGTGAGTTATATCACTGCAGCAATGGTTGCTTAGTCCTGGCCACTCAATTCTGAATTCTTACTGATCCGCGTGCAGAATTTCAGAGTGACATTTCCGTGGTGAGATCCTGACCTGAAGCAAAACTGAAAACTCCCACTCCGAAGTGAGCAAAATGTGAAAATATCAAATCAAATAAAAACGGGTGAGTCATATGAGTACTAAAAATAATGTTTAAGATTTTGATCATCTCAAGTCTTATCAGCGAAGTTGTGTGCAGTTAAGATACAGATATTTCTGTCCTCAGAGTAAGATACAGATGTTTCTATCCTCAGAGTAAAATTCAGCCTTTGACTTTGCCAGTGTGCAAAAGTCATTGAAATGTTTCTTATGTTTTCTTGTCTTGTATCAGAACTGGAAGAAGTGGATTTTTTAGACCTACAGAGAGAGAGAAGGTTTATAGTGAGTTTACCCTGTGCCTTTTTCTCAAAAGGATTGTTAAATTGTAGTTCCCAGCAGCACACCTTTAGCAAAACTTAAAACTTTGAGTTTAGTAAATATCTAATGAATGCTTACTAATATTTCACATGTTTTTAAGGTTAAGTTTATACACTACCAATATATTTCACACTTCCAATGGCAAGTGTTGAGAGCTGTAAAGCTTTATTCGGAGTTATTACATAAGCACAATATACTTTTTCAGTAACTCGCAGACATTTTAAATATTTCTGTTCAAAATATGGAGCAACAATGAACTGAAATTAGCTAATAATGTGTCTGTGT